AATTAGGGGGCGTTTACAAGGCGGAGATCTGACACCAGTCAGCTGCGCACAATTTCCAGATCATTTATGATTTATAAATGTCACATCTGGAAGAAAGGCGTATGCACGTGTTTTTGTGCACACGTTCGTCTTCTCTGAATCGCACTTATGCACTTTTGAGAAATGATCTTAGAACATTTGAGTTGATTAGCTGATTGGCATGTCACCATATTCTAATTTGTTGAGAAAAAAACGCATCCCGCCGCTTCTCATCCTATTACCTAAAGATGCTGTAGGCACGATCACGTTTGAAACTGCTAACCAAATCAAACGTACACATAGACATTTGTACTTAGTGTCAAGGACGTTATAATGTAAGCATCATTAATGACCCCTTGTGTTTAATTATAAAAAATATTGATTAGTGAAATGAAAGAATGATTTCATAAAAATAAAAAATGAGAATGATTAGTAATTGTCTTTAATTGGCCTGATTAGCTAAGCCCACAAAACACTTCTTATTTAGTGGTATTGCATTTACAGTATTGCATGATTTGTAGATTTAATAGTTCACACTTTGTATAAACATTTGCAATTAGTTTTTAAAAGGTAACATTACATTCTTCAGGACTCTACGCTTACATTTCTCTTACATTTCTCTTTAAATTTCTCACTTAAAAAAAAAAATTAGAAACACCTTCTGATCAATGACAGAAATTAACCTTCCCATTATGAGGCGATATTTGACTCTTTAAAGTGTAAAGTTTACCTTTGTAATGCCATTTTTTCTAACTGTATTAAATGTGTCATCTTTTTGTGTTATATATATATATATATATATATATATAAAATCTTTTATCAAAAATTTTAAATAAACAATAAATTCAATTAAAATAATAAGATAAGAAGAATAGGATGAATAAGTTACCAGTCAAATGAAATTAGCATTAACAATTGATCTTTTCACTAGGAGGTGCACAGAACACAAATTAAGGAATATTTACAGACTGTTTAATGTGACTCAGAGATTAAGGTATTTACAATCAACACAGCAGGTACAATCAGTGTCTTTGTCAGACCAACAACAACCAAATAAACAATAACAAAACTGAAGGAACTCACCTATGAAGCCTCTTGTTAGTCCACTAGTACATTACATTCCAACAAAAATGGTGTAGTTACACTGTAAAGGGTCCAGACTATCCAGTTCAGTGAAATATTTAGTCCATAACACATTTATATGTTGATAAACATCCACGGAGTGTAGTAGTATCATTTCAGATTAGCCGACAAAGCTTCGGCGCATTCTGAAGTATAGCTTGTTTATAGACATAAACAACACGGAATAATCAATGTTAAAATGGCCGCTGACATCTGAACAGAATAATATGTCACTTGAGTGGGCGGCTTTGATATATCAGCGCAGAAGTCCGTGCGCAAAGGATTACAGAGACTGGTGTGTCTGTGCGTAATCTGAGCGCTCTATGAGAGATAACGGGGAAGAGGTGGTTAGAGATCAAAAACTATCAAAGAGAACAACCCCTTTGTTCTAAGAAGTTGTTAAAGGATTTAAATAATTTATTATACTTTAAAAATGAAACTGAAACCGCCAGTAGGTGGCGGCAAGTCTTTTGTCACTGAATCATTCATTTAATCGATTCGTTCAAACGGCTGATTCATTTAGGAACAAAGCAAATTACTGCCTTTATGAATGGGTCATTGAATCATTGACTCACTAGATTTGTTCAAAAACGCAGATTCATTCATAAACTCAGCTGTGACTTTGTTTGGCATTATTTTCGTTAATAGCACAATCAGACAATTGTGTTCTAAAATATGTCACTTAATATTAATTTTGTATAAAATAAAAAATGTATAAAATTGTTGTATAAATTCTCAAGCGCACCCCCCTAAGGTCGGCCCTGGCAGTTGGAACTGGAACGCCGCCCTCCTCGAAATTCACACCCCGGACTCCGTCCCCCCGCGTGCCCCCCATTTCCAGCCCTGCTAGTGAAGGGGAGTTCAATGAATCAAAACTTTTGAATGTATTCACTGAAAAAGATTAATTTACTGACTCTCTTTGCAGGTTATTGTTTTATACTAGAAGGTGGTGAAAAGTGACTCATTAAGATAGCGAGATGAAATTATTGAAGGAAAAAGATAAAGCATTTTTATTCAAAATACTCATTTTCTCTGCACATTTCATGCTGTCAAGAGTAATGCACTTTAGAGATATTTTTTGTACTGGTCACTGTTTTCATATTCGGTCATCTTTTAATCTGCTAATACAAATCATACAGTAACCAATTCATAAATAAGTCTCTGAAGGGAGAAGGAATGAATTACATGAATATGATAAGTTATTTAATTGAATGACAATTAGACATGTTTAAATAATTTGATATTAAAGTTGTGGTACAATCTGGCTTGATACATATTATAATTTACAAATTCTACATATATATATTAAAAATTAGGGAAAAAGTGAAGGAAAATGGAATAGAGAAGCTACTCTAAACAGTTTTTTTTTATTTATTATTTTTTAAAGACTAGTTCAATAGCCTATTCTTACCAGATCCAGAAAATCTGATCAGATCAGCCCAAATATAATCATCACTTCACGTCAACTTACTTTTAAAGCCCTATATGGTCTACTTTATGGTCTGCTCTAGTGATCTATCACGCTAAATTCCACCACGCTCATTAAGGTCACAAAACTCCAGTCTCCTGATACAGTAGTACATAGAACATCCAAAATATGAGACGACAAGGATATATTTGGTATAATTTGCATATGCATTATTATTGATGTGTATATAATTTTATGAAAAAGAAAGACATTTTAAATGCATTACTCAACAAGATTCTCAAATCTCACATCTTGCATATTAAAAATGTATTCAATGGACCCATGATTAATACTACAGCATACAATGTAACTAGATGTCATGCCAGAGGATGATGGGGTCTGATTCCTACCCAAAGCTTCTGTTCATCACCTAAACAACTCATAGAGTTGCTTTCCTTGCACCATTCATCTTTGCCTTGCACTATTGGAGCATTAAGGCATGATTTTTTTGTAAAGCTGCTCTGAGACAATATGTACAGTATTTTCAAAAGCGCTATACAAATAAACTTCATTTAGCCTGACTAATGACTGAAGGTATTCTTAAATTAATTAATGAGGCACTAGCATTGTGACTGCAACAGAGAACATCGTATTAGCTGCCACAGGAGGTAAAGATACATAAATAAATAGCAATATTGATCATTTTTCAAATACATAAAACACAATGTTATAGGACAAGACGCTATGGCAGTATTCAGCTATGGTCAGCCACTCATCCATTCATCCACTATATGGGCACAAACAATAATTCCATTCTAAAAAAAACAAGTGCAGGGTGTGTGTGTGTGTGTGTGTGTGTTTGCATTGTGTTGTGTATGTGTTGTGATGTACACATTAAGTGTTACAAGTAAAGTTTTTTGCGTAGTGTGTGTGAGAGTTGAAAGTGGTACTCATTGCCAGGATTTTGTTGATTGTGACTAACCACGTTTCTGTTCACCTCTGCCATGACGTCCAATAAAAGCATCTTTCTGCAAATTTAGGAGAAAAATACAGAAATAAGGAGCTTTTAATTACAGATTTTTATTTCCTGAGAACTCTTAACAGCAAATGCTGAAAAAGATTTAGCATGTACACATGGCCGGATGCCATTTTTCTATACTAGCATAATACTTTCCTTGTCACTTGACATCATTCACAAAAGTCAAAATGTTCAATTTCATTATATATTCCGTTCTCTTGATGTGTTGCATGAGGGGGGTGTGGAGCTCCCTTGTGAAATCTAGTGGTTGAAAATTTGTGTATAGCACCTTTAAAGGGATAGTTCATCCAAAAATGAAAATTTGATGTTTATCTGCTTACCCCCAGGGCATCCAAGATGTAGGTGACTTTGTTTCTTCAGTAGAACACATATGATGATTTTTAACTTTAACCGTTGCAGTCTATCAGTCGTATAATGCATGGCAATGGTAACAAAATCTATGAGAGTAAAAAAAAAACATGCACAGACAAATCCAAATTAAACCCTGCGGCTCGTGACGACACAGTGATGTCCTAAGACACGAAACGATCGGTTTGTGCCAGAAACCGAACAGTATTTATATAATTTTTTTACCTCTAATACACCACTATGTCCAACTGTCTTTTAATATGCAACTTTCCAACTATATATATATATATATATATATATATATATTTAGCATTAGTTAATGCACT